GTACTAATATAATCTCACTCATTGGTTCTACAATGACGTCATAGTGACCAGTAGCACCCTAGAGACCAAAGCCCGTCAGTGACCAAAATCATTATTGACTGCAAATCCAAAATTCGCAAGTGACCAAAAATCATTAGTGATCAAAAATCAAGCATCCGGCAGTGACCAAAATTATGAGTGACAAAAAATATATCACTGATCACCACCCGTTGAACACCTGGGCAATGACCACTGCCCTATCACAATGATCAACCTTATCACCCACCATAGTGAATTCCCGATTAGTGACCTCTCCACCCATAGTGACCTATCGTCCAGTGACATCGCCACCCACAGTGACCTGCTAGTCAGTGACATCGCCACCCACAGTGACCTGTCGATCAGTGACCTCGTCAGTTAGTGACCACTGCCCGTCACTGTTACCACTGCCGGCCAATGACCTTTTTTTGTCGGTGTGCTGCAGGTAACCATCCATATCTCGGCCCTCAGCTCCTCCGCAATCCTGAATCCTCTTTGTGCCACCAGCCCACCCTAGCAACTCCCATTCAGAGTAGACTTCACCCGCCCAGCCTACCCCAGCCCCCAGCCTCACCCTCAGAACCTAGCTACCATGCCCCAGCCTCAGCCTCACATCCCAGACCCTAGGGGTGAGCAAATAACCGATTTAACCGACCTGACCAAAAATCGATGACCGAACCGACCGAAAAAATCGGTTATCGGTCGGTTTTCGGTTATAATAAATTAAAAAGAACCGGTTATTCGGTTATTCGGTTTTTATTCGGTTATATTTATCGGTTATCGGCCGGTCACCGATAACCGTCCAAAATATATAAGTTTTTTTTAAGGAAAAGAAGTTTTATTGAAGTCCATAGTATGAAGTCCAGCCCACACTTATTGAAGTCCACCTATGAAACCCAATAGTCGAATGCTCTGGAGCCCTCAACCCTTGACCTCATTAGATCAGTTTGCTGGTTTGGAGTTAAATGTTTAAGAAGTTAATAGCTTAATTATTTGCTAACATGTCATTTTTTATTTTGTCTCCTAATTGAAAAAGATATATGTGGGTGATGCATCATGTGTGCATATGTAGTGTGCTTTGTACTATTATTTACATTTAAATAAGTTAAATCTATTTTGGTATTTATTATTTTATTTATTAATGTGTTGTTTACAACTTTCATAATTTTGAAAATTATATGCTTTTGAAATAGGGTCGGTTATTCGGTTATTCAGTTACCGACCGAAACTGAATGGCATTTTTCGGTCGGTTTTTGTAATGTTGTCGGTCAGTTATCGGTCGGTTATTAGAGTAAAAAATATTGGTCGGTTATTCGGTTATCGGTCGGTTATTTGAGCGACGGACCAAATGCTCACCCCTACCAGACCCCGACTCTCAACCCCCAGCCCATTCTCGTTTTCCCACTAGCCCACTGCTTCCAACCCTATGCCCCAATCGCATCATTGCCTGTAAACCTAGCCGTGACCTCGCCACGGACTGATCTACTCAATGTCTTTGCTCGTCCCGCTCCATCATCGCTCGCCTCGCTTCGTCGTCTCTCGCTCGCCTCGCTCCGTCGTCACTCGCTCGCCTCGCTCCATCGTCCCTCGCTCGCCTTTCTGTCTCTCTCCTCACCATCACTCTTCGTTGCTCGCCCCGTCTTCTTCAGACCCGAAGATATCCGAACGGCCATCAACTCCAAGAGGCCGAGAAGAGGAAAAAGGAGAAAGTGAATAATGGCAAACCTGTGTGTAAGTCAGCCTCGGCAATGATGTGGCGGAAGTAGAGCTCAAACTCGGTAGCTTGATCGGTGAAGGTTTGCCAGATCGTAGAGAGAGACAAAAGGATGATGTGTGATGGGGAATTAGGGATACAAGAGAGAGGGTGAAGGGTTGGGGGTAATGTTGGATTATGAGTTGAACTGGCTCTCTTTTTTGTCCAAATTCAAATGTGGTCCTATTTTTGTCTTTATAGATCTCTGGAGTAATATTTCCGTCATTCCTTCATAAAAAATTACAATTAACTTCTTTATCTAAAAACCTGATTAAACAATAAAAACAACCATGATGCCTATAGTATGTGCTTCAATGATAGTGTGTAGTCGTCTCAAAAACACGTATTACAATATAATACATGTTATTAAGAATAAAGTTAAGTACCAAACACATCAAATATATAGAAAGTACGGAGTATATGAGAACGCGGTTGGTGATCCTGTTTTTCGGCTTATCAGCCAACTTTTTTCACAAAACAAATAACTTTTTATTTCGCGCGCTGAATCGTGTAATAATAAGAAAAAGTAAGGTTAAAGTTGTTTTTCTGGTTGTATTGGCTGAAGTTACTATGGAGGATCATTTTATATATTTTTCAGATAATTTTTCTTTGTTTTATTAACAAAATATGTTGTTAATAAAAAGTTTTAATGAATTAACAGAATCAACCAATCCAGCCACTTTAGTCAGAACTTCATAAATTTCAGCAGAATCAGCCAATACAACCGATTTGGGTATTACCAAACAGGCTCAAGGAATCTAATTATTTCTATTTAATTTACTTAAGATAAAATTTGAAACTCCTCTTTCGAAATAATATTATTTTTAAACAAGGCTATTTTTCATCTAATTTTTTCTTTATTTTATTAGTAAAATATATTTTTAATATAATTTTCCCATAATTCAACAGAATCAGCAAATTCAGACGGACAAACGCTTTATTCAGAATTTTATAATTTCAAGAAGTTTAGCTCATTCTGTCAATTCCAATGTTTTCAAATGGGGTCACAACAAGTACTACTTGAATTGAGTTCAATGTATGCCATTTATGAGAGATTGAGCTTTGATGGATGTTTTTAGGGATGGGTAAATCAGTTTAGTTTTATCGAATCAAACCGAATCAAATCGAGTCAAACCAAATTAAACCGCAATTCGCCAATTCAGTTTGAGTTTGGTACTATTTTTTAAATCGAATTAAACTAAATCAAAACAAACTGAAACTGCGAAAAATCAAATAAAACTCTGGCAAACTCAAGTATTCAATAAATTTTTTATGTATTTTAAAAAATAATAAACCAAAACCGACCTGACTCGAACAAATTTGTACCGAACCAAAAAGTATGGTTGTTGTTTGGTTTTATTCTTCCGGAAGGTTCCAAACCATACGGATCGAAAATTGATAAAAACCGAACTGAAATCAATATGCTCACCCCTAGTAGTGTTTTGTATATATCTTGTTAATCGGGGTTTTATTTTATAAGAGAAATTTTCTTTTTACCACTCAAAGGACAAAAGTAATAGTTTTAAATAATTTTAAAAGTTCTAAGTGAACAAATCTATTTAAGTCTAGTTTGACTAGACATAGTCTAGTAAAGGTATATTACATACATGTGTGATGTACTATCATGTAAGCCAGTTTTGGTCGGGTATAAAACTAAAACAAGCTCAAACGAAAACATTATTTATCCGTTATAAAAGTTTTAACACGATCAAAATGTTTTATGACTATTTAGTTTTAGAAAAAAATTACCGATATGTGCCTAAATTAAAATAAATTAAAGATAGTGAATAAGAATGTGACCCTAGTCATGCTAAAGTTTTACGCTTTAGTGGGTGTGATGGTATATTAATAGTAACTTTAGTAATATATTGTCCATCACTTAAATTTCATTAATATTTGTGAAAAGCTCTTTTTTTTAATATGTAAAAACATGCATAGAAATGCTATTAATCTAACATTCTAAAGCACAAATTAATTTAGACAAGAATAAAAATATTAATAAGAAGATGAAATTGAAATGATGAAGTTTACATATCATGATATCAACTTGACAAAAAAATACAGAGTATTATTTAGTTATGCATAAAGAGACGTTGCGGAAAATGAAAATGGAAAACAAAATGAATTAGAGTAATAGCTATTAGCGGTAGAACAATTCCATAGTAGAGTGGCGCAACCACCGCAACAAGAAAATAAAGGAAGATAGAATTGTTTAATCTTGATAAAAACTTTGGTGCACCAAGCGATGATCCACTATGAAGACCGACACATACAATTGTCCATGTAAATAAATGATATGACAAAACATGACCAACTTTTTCTAATGACTTGTTGTGTTTGTTGGTAACGATCATAGCATAATTAATGATATATAGAAAATGTCAGTTTTGAAATGTGAATCGGAGTCTGCTTTGAGATGATGCTAAAATAGGGCTGAAAATAAGATTTGTTTGACTATTATTTACTTCATGTATCATACATGAGCCTTAATAATATGAGCTCCAAGTTTAGTCCTATAAAAGTGCTTACCTCACTTACATTTATTCTAATAACTAAATAAATTATCTGCATTTGTCTAAGCATGTACCCTGTTTTTAGCTCGACATTATGACTTAGCATATGGAATTTAGTTTTTTTTAAGAAGCCTTGAGGGTATCTTGGGTAGGAGATTACGATATGAGATGGGTTAATATGTTGATCTGAGGTTAAATAGGTCTTGAGCTCTCTACATTGGTCTAATTCACCATGCAATCAATTGCATCTATACATGAGGTAAGAATATCTTTGCAATGCACATATGAAACTTGATTAGTGTCATCCATGAAGTCAAGATATATAGACAGAATCATAAATTCCACATATCACAGGTTATCAGAGCAGACATATCATTTACTCCCTCCGTCCCGTTGGAATGTTCTCATTCACTATTCATTGGTCAACTTAGGTCACTCCTAATCTTTTACTTTATATATCAATTTTTTATCAAATTGAACTTTTCATGATCAGGCTTTGTAGCGGGTTTAATGTAATTTCTGAATATGTAAATTTTATTTACTAAAAATAAGCGGAGTGTGAACAGGGATTGAGTTTCTTTATCATCAGTCAAACATCGTAAACCGAACGAGAACATTCATGAGTGATTCCTCATCGGTTTTCTGGCAAAATGTCATTCATGATATATTAAATTCATTCTACAAAGGACTGAATGCTTAGGTCACATTTCTCATGGTAATATTTGAAACAATAATTTTATTAGCTAATCTCACCATGGTTTAATGCGAGCACACAAATGATTAAATTAGAGTCGAGTATACAATATCTTATTTAATGTCTTTTAGAAGCATAAATAACATTCGTTGCGGAATAAAATAATGAACCCACCAAATGCAAGCTAACATCACAATGACAAGAGGCAAAGTGTGTACTCCGGACCTTATCTCTACGCGATTGTGCCTCATCTTGGTGTCGCGTCTTCATCTTTCAGCCTCTCGCACTCCAGCCTGCTGCGTCTCTGCGGTATGCCTGCCTCCAGGAGTACAGCCGCCGTCCAGCCTCTAGATTCATGTAAAGCTCAAAGAGCACGGACAGTGCGTCCAGCCTCCAGATTCATGTAAAGCTCAAAGAACACGAATAGTGCTTGAAAACTCACAAATCGGTCCCTAATACCAAATAAGATATATCCTAGGACAAACATTTAACCGATTAAAACATATTAAAATGCTAAAATTCGATCTAACATGAAAATTACTACATAGTGGCAACAACCTAGCACCAAAAACCACCTTGGATGGCCTTCGAATGATTAAATTAAAAAAATAAGCTGTAGGATGCGGCTATAGGTTTCCAAGAAGGTGTATTTTCAGAAAAATGGTCTTATATATATATACACGAGGGTGAGATTTGCATTTTGGGGCGGAATTTCGACGCACACATGTTGTGCGTGGTTCCGTGCGCATCGCGCGCTAAAGGTTTCTCGGTCATGCGTATGCAGTGACGCATGCCGTATTTGGTCTCGTGCGCACCTGGCAGAAAGTCCCTTTTGCCATGCAGGGCCGTGTCACACCGTGTGTGCATGCCTGCCTAGCACCCTCTCAAACTTCGGTTTTTCTCTGATTTTGTAATAACATGTTATGCTCTTGACCCCATATAGTAAACCAGTCTTTATAAAGTCACCTATGAGCCTAGGATCCTTCCTTAGGTCAAACACATAACTATTTCCATTTGTTTGTCTTCAATTGCTAGCCGAAAGGTATCCCGCCCCTTCCCATCTACCCCTATCCTCTATCCACCCCATGCCCAACCCCAACCCTCCCACACCCCCAATCTACTCCTTCCCTGCTCACCTCTATACATTGACCCCACCCCACCTTGTACATCATACCCCTATATCTATACACCCTCGCACCTTCAAGATGAATTGATTATTGCAAAAGTTGGATGAGTCAAGAGTGAGAAGAGGGTGGTGTACTCTAAGAGGATTTGAATTAAGTTCACTCCAAACAAGTTTGTATCTTAAAAAAAAGTAGTCATCAAAATAAATAATTAAGTGTCTATATCACTAAATCGATAAAGGATAAGGTGAAACACTCATGTTAATCTTGTTGCTAGGATCAGAAGAAATAAAACACATTTTCATACTCATTTATGGGATTAGAGGTCAGAGTTAAATATTGAGTGAGTGAATGAGTTGAGAATGTGAGTTAATTTTATTGCACAGATAACAATGATAAGAAGTAAAGACAGAGAAAATTGAGATGACATAGAGTTATTTTTAGACTAAACCTACTCTAATAACCAAAGGCTCCTCCTTCAAGATATCAAAACCCATGTGACCAATCTTTTGGTCTTCTTAACGTTAAACAAAAGCACCGCAATAAACTTTGGTAAAAGACACGTGTTAATGAGTATGAGGTTTTACTAACATATCTTATCAACTATACAAGGATGTTACTAACAGTATCCTCAACTGTATGAGGAGTTGACAAACAAATCTCTTAAAATGTATGATGATTTAACAAATGGATCCGCTCAACCGTGAAAAGGATTTTGGCGAGATCACATCAACCATGTACAAATTCAGATTTGACATAGGATGACCTCAACCTTTTACACCAAGTGAGTAAATAAATGAATGGAATCACATGTTCTTCTTCATTCTTGAAAGATGTAAATATCAAGAACGGAATGAAGAAGATACAACTAGTATACTTTATGAAAAAATACAAGATTAAACTAGAGATATGGGTATACTAGTCTATTAAGTAAAACTCTGAAGTGATGAACAAATTAATACCAAGAGCTTTGCTTAAAATATTTCAGGCTCAACACGCCTCAAAAACTGGGAAAGTGAAACAATTGTAGTATAGAAGAGTCGATGATAATGTATAGAATTGAAAATCAAGAGGTGAAATGGATTTGGTTATATAGTGTTTAAGAACCTTTAACATACCAAGGAATTATTGAAATATTATTTGATATAGTATAAAATTCAGAATATTTAATTTTGTTTTCGTTATCTAGTCTTGTATTCCCTTCGACAAAATTTCTCTCTCCTTCTTTCTCATTTCTCCCTTCTCTTTTTGATATTTGAGTGAGCTGCCTTTATCTCCCTTGGCTTTATGTTGCTATCTCAAATGGGTGGAGCGAAATGAACATCCTCCCCCATATCTCACTGTTATTAGTAAGTTGGGCTGCCCAGTATAATTTGGCCCAATATATTATATCTTCCGCTCCTTATATGAGCTTAGTAAATTATGAAGATGGCCCAACATAAATTTGGTGGTTTTTGGTACGATTTCCAGCCTAATAATCAATTTAACAAATCAATTTATTAATTAAAACTATTAACCATTTCATATGTGGTTAATATCAAGATTTCTAAATACAATTATTAAATAATGAATAGTTAATCCATATATAATTGGGAGCGGTGTCACAATTTATGTATTAGCTCATAACGAGAAGGGCTCAGCCGCGTCAACAACATTGTAAAAGCTAAGGAAGAATTATGACCGATCTTCACTCAAATATTCAAGAAAACTCGCATATCTTAAAATTTATTAACGTCATTCATGCTTGGAAAGCAACACCAAAGGACCTAGTCATGCATGCACAACACAACCGCAGCCTCGAGCTTCACATGTGCATGATGCGCCACCAACTTTATGACTCTTAACTACTAACATAAAATAGGTTCTACTCGGGTTACAAAACTATATCGTCTCAACTGCTCAACCTCTAATGATATTCCAACAAGTGGTGCAACAACCAACTACGTTGCCACTCTCGACTCGACTTTCGCCCCGAACTTTGTACTAGAAAAAGTTGTGAACATAAATATTGAGAACATGGTTTTTTCTGTATGGCCTCGTAGGAACAGGCAATCCATGATCGACCGAAGATACTGGTGAGGGGTTTTCTTAACATGGAGTTGTATGAGAATCAAGATATGTAGCCTAAGAGAGATGGTGGTTACTTAGGTGCACTCAAAAATTGTTGTCTTAAAATTTCTAAAGCATCAAATATATAACTAAACCTCAATATCGATAAATCGATGAAAAAAGACTAAGTGCTCAACTTAATCTTCTTTCTAGTATCGGAAGAATTCAAGCATCTATTTATACTTGTTTGATCATTAAAGCCCAAAGTGAAAATTTTGATGTGTGTGTGTGCAAGTTTTTGAAAACATGGATTAGTTACTAAAGTAAATTGAATAACGGTGCAATGAAATAAAGAGAATGTAAAGGACAATTATTTGATTTGTACTAGTTCCACTATGCCTACTCCACTACAACAAGATTCCTCCGGGCTCTTAAAATTTGCCAGTCCTTTGATCTCCTAGAACATAAGAAAAAGCACCACAAGAATAATTGGGAAATAGACTCTTTCTGATGCTTACGGATTTCACTATGGCTATCCTCGCCCATATGAAGAGTGCACATACGGATTTCCATGACCCTGTACAATGAGGGTTGCATAGATATATAAATGAACAAGTTCTTCACTCAGTGAATATAAAGGTTCAAGAGTGAAAGTCATAAGCATTATAATTACTTATATTTTACAAAAATAATTACAATAATAATCTGTACAGAAAAAGAAGTGAAAATAGATATAAAAAGAAAGATGGGTATGAAAGGTGAACTATGGTCATAGGTGAAATGAAAGAACTTACAAGTCAAAAGAAGTCAAAAGGTGGCAGTTTTGGATCAACCGTTGAATCCAAAACAAAAGATAAAGTACTATGTGTTTGCAGATAGGACCAACCTGCACAGAAGTTTGATGTTCAGAAAAGTATGAAATTCTTCGGAATAGTCCATCGTCGAACCTGCTCCATACCCGATGCCAGAGTTATAGAAAATCACAAGCGGAGAAGAGAAAATCTTGCACCGGGCCTCCATAACTTGCACTAGACTTGAAAAAAATGTATAGATATAAATCGTCATACATGGATATTCTTGAAGAGAAGTGGAAATATTTTGAGAAGATGGGGAATAATTTGGCCCATACTTATTTACAATCATAAATAAACTAAAAGATGCCAATAATTTCATGTATTTAAAGCCTCCATTTCACCACATAATAATCATCCAATCATTCTCACCTTCTTTGCTCGGGGAAAACCTCCTAGTCCTCCCATAGAAGAGTATTTGACAAGATTTCCAATAATTAAAGGAGTCTCGCGAACTCTTCGTGTGACACCGCACCCGAATGTACTTGAATTTAAAATGCAGTATGTATGTGAATTTTCCCGCATAATGGTGGGGACGATCATCCCCACAATCTTATCCCATCTGTAATGCTTGCTCCCAAAGCCAAGGTTCCGTACGTAAGTCCTGCAATTGGGCCTTGCTGGCTTGTTGGGGACGTACGTCCACTGATGTAGGGGGAGCAACTCCAGCTGCCTTAGCCCTTGAAGACGTTCGTCTGCCATTGGGCCTTGCTGGCCTGTGGGGGACGTACGTCCTCTGAAGTAAGGGAAGGCGTCTCCAACGTCCTTGGAGGCGTACATCTTGCAATGGGCCCTGCTAGCCTGTTGGGGACGTACGTCCCCTGAAGTAGGGGGAGAGCATCTCCAGCTGCCTCCTTGGAGACGTTCGTCTTACAATGTGCCCTGTTGGCCTGTTGGGGACGTACGTCCCCTTAAGTAGGGGGTGCATCTTCAACTGCCTCCTTGGAGACATTCTTCTTCCGTTGGGCCTTGCTGGTCTGTTGGAGACGTACGTCCCCTGAAGTAGGGGGAAGGCGTCTCCAGCTTAGTTACCCCCATGAGGGGAGGCCGTACGTCGTCATAGCTTGCTGCCTTTTCGGTGCAGGAGACGAACGTCGTCACGTCCTCTGACCACTCTAAGGGTATTTGTCCGCAGACTGTTGGGGCTTTTAGGGATGATGTGAGTTTTCTCGCACTTAAAAAGATTGTAGAATAGTAGTGAAAGTACTAGTATCGTCTCCACAGGGACGAACAAAGGGAATTAAAGATTAACTAAATTCAGCGATTAAAAATAAATAATCAAAATGCGGTCGTGCAAGATTTGGTTGATTGAGAAAATTAAAATTGCAAATAAACGAATAAAATTAAAGATTTGGGTTCTTCTTAATTAACGAAAGATTTGGATCAACCGTTGAATCCAAAACAAAAGATAAAGTACTATGTGTTTGCAGATGGGACCAACCTGCATCGAAGTTTGATGTTCAGAAAAGTATGAAATTCTTCGGAATAGTCCATCGTCAAACCTGCTCCATACCCAATGCCGGAGTTATAGAAAAATCACAAGTGGAGAAGAGAAAATCTTGCACCGGGCCTCCATAACTTGCACTAGACTTGAAAAAAATGTATAGATATAAATCGTCATACATGGATATTCTTGAAGAGAAGTGAAAATATTTTGAGAAGATGAGCAATAATTTGGCCCATACTTATTTACAATCATAAATAAACTAAAAGATGCCAATAATTTCATGTATTTAAATCCTCCATTTCACCACATAATGATCATCCAATCATTCTCACCTTCTTTGCTCGGGGAAAACCTCTTAGTCCTCCCATAGAAGAGTATTTGACAAGATTTCCAATAATTAGACGATCATGGAGTCTCGCGAGCTCTTCATGTGACACCGCACCCGAATGTACTTGAATTTAAAATGCAGTATGCATGTGAATTTTCCCGCATAATGGTGGGGACGGTCATCCCCACAATCTTATCCCCTGTGTACTGCTTGCTCCCAAAGCCAAGGTTCCGTACGTAAGTCCTGCAATTGGGCCTTGCTGGCTTGTTGGGGACGTACGTCCACTGATGTAGGGGGAGCAACTCCAGCTGCCCTAGCCCTTGAAGACGTTCGTCTGCCATTGGGCCTTGCTGGCCTGTGGGGGACGTACGTCCTCTGAAGTAAGGGAAGGCGTCTCCAGCGTCCTTGGAGACGTACGTCTTGCAATGGGCCATGTTGGCCTGTTGGGGACGTACGTCCCCTGAAGTTGGGGGAGAGCATCTCCAGCTGCCTCCTTGGAGACGTTCATCTTACAATGGGCCCTGCTGGCCTATTGGGGACGTACGTCCCCTTAAGTAGGGGGGCATCTTCAGCTGCCTCCTTGGAGACATTCGTCTTCCGTTGGGCCTTGCTGGCCTGTTGTAGACGTACGTCCCCTGAAGTAGGGGGAAGGCATCTCTAGCTTAGTTACCCCCATGAGGGGAGGCCGTACGTCGTCATAGCTTGCTGCCTTTTCGGTGCAGGAGACGAACGTCGTCACGTCCTCTGACCACTCTAAGGGTATTTGTCCCCAGACTGTTGGAGCTTTTAGGGATGATGTGAGTTTTCTCGCACTTAAAAAGATTGTAGAATAGTAGTGAAAGTACGAGTATCGTCTCCACAGGGACGGACAAAAGGGAATTAAAGATTAACTAAATTCAGCGATTAAAAAGAAATAAATAAAATGCGGTCGTGCGAGATTTGGTTGATTGAGAAAATTAAAATTGCAAATAAACGAATAAAAGTAAAGATTTGGGTTCTTCTTAATTAACGACGAATGGAACAGGAATTGATTCCGGGGTAATGAGATTTCTGGAAGATCAGGCTTAATTACATGAAATTAGTTTAATTGAGCCTAGCTAATCAATACTAAGTTCTTACCGCTCTCGCGGCGTAGAGTACAATAATTTAGGGGACCAGGCTGATCTCTCATGCGACAGGATCCTAAATTATTACCAAGGCGAGCGAGCTTACGGCTCCTTAATCGCTACTAATCTCTTAGCGAACGATTAAGTGTACGTGAATGTGTCTTTGACGAGCACTTTGTCACGGTGCGTCAAAATAAATTCAATACTAAACACTTATACGTAGTATAGCGTAGTAGAGTTCGTATCCACAGGGAAAGGAATAATTTCTCTTTTTATGATACTTAGTAACTAAAAAGGGGGGATTTGGATTGAGTGATTTGATTTAATTAAGAACTAAGATGAACAACCTATATGTGTTTAATTCAAAGATAAAAAGGACTTGGCATTGCTACTTTCCACTTGTTGATATATTTTAGTCGATCATTGTTATATCTATAACTTATTCCCTCTCGAATACTCAATCGGGGCGTATATCCACTTCATCGAGGGTAGTTATTAACAACGACCGTTCATTAATAACCCTTACTATTAATCAAATATAGAACAACGCCTTATACCGATTTAATAGTAGCATTTAATCTTTCTAACTCCTTGATGAAATCAATTGAGATTGATAACCTCAACACAAGCGGTTTCGGTTTAACCAACAAAATTAATCCCTCTTAAGTTTATTAACCACGACCGTGCATTAATAAACCGAAGCTACTTACTTGTGAAACCATCAACGATTAACCATCGGTTCGTTGATCGTTTCTAGTAATAATTAATATATGAAACAAAACTAGTTGATCCTTTAAGTAATGTTCAAAATATTAATATGAAATAAGAGTAGGGATTAATTAATATTCAAGGAAGAATATTATTAATGAAGATGAATCCTACTATAATTAATATCAAGATGTTAACTAATTGTCATCTTAGCAACACTCCTCAATATTAATATAGAGGAAGAAAACACCATTCTAACTAATGTCGAGATGTTAACTAATTGTCATCTTAGCAACACTCCCCAACATTAATATAGAGATGATATTAAGGAAAGAACTATTAATTAATATTCAAGGAAAGAAGTTAAGAAAATAACTCACAACTTTAATAATCAACAAGCTTCAAGAGCAACACCAAGAATGGAAGTTTAGCTCCTCATTTGGAGACTAAACATAGCTAGAAAAATATAAAAAATGCTATTCTAAACTGAGCTAAAGAGTATGGAAGAAGGGATTATCTTTTGTGAAGAAAAACTATGTTATTTATAGGTGTTTTTCAACACCTTTGGCCAGGTACCCGACCGGGTCAAGTACTCACCCGACCGGGTCCGGTCAAAATCAGATATTTCCCCACGTTCTGGTGATCTTTGGCATGTTAAAGTGTCCGGGTCAAGTCAGACCCGACCGGGTCAAGTAAGGGACCCGACCGGGTGAGTGCAAAAATTGGATTTTCTACACGTTCGAGTGATCTTTGCACACCGGGTTGTCCCCGGTCACTTCTCACCCGATCGGGTGAGGTAGTGGGCCCGACCGGGCCATGCACTTTCTTTGCATTTTCGTTTTTCACTTCTTACCCGACCGGGTCAGGGTTTATACCCGGTCGGGTATTTGCTCCTGGGCAGCCAAATCTTCTTTTTCTTCACTTCAAAGCCTTCCTTTCCAACACCACAAATCCTAACTAAACTTTACAACTTACAAAAAAAGACTAAAATACAATTACAACTGAAATCACATAAATGTTTACAAACTAAATAAAACGTCAAACAATTAACATAAATCAAACATAAAAACATGTAATTATGCACTACTAATTAGTGTGCATCAAACACCCCCACACTTAAACCTTTACTCGTCTCGAGTAAATCAAATCAAATCCAAGAAGTCCTAAATGACAAGAGTAGCAGCACCAACATCCACAAGTGTTTATAACAAAAACATAAAGTATCTCCAAAACAAAAAGAGTAAAGATGGGTCTTCAATTTCAATCCGAACTCTCAATAGTAATTCCCCTCAGGATCCTGCAAAATCAAAAGAAATAACTTTCTCTCATTCTCTCATTTTGCCTAGGTGCCCTTTCAGGTTTTCAACCCAGCTTCCCACATTTTTTTATTTTTATTTTTATTTTTTTAATTTTTCTCAAATCTCACAAACTCACTCTTATTTTTGCTTTATTTTTGCTTAAGCTGCCCTTTGTGGGTTTTCAACTCAACAAGCTTTCGTTTTTTTTTGAGATAACAAGAATAAAGAGTGTGAATGTGAACATACCGGGAAGATCTCTTCACCCCCACACTTAGGATCTGACACTGTCCCTAGTGTCCGCCTAGACCTCCACCTGGGTGTCCGTCCTCATCCATGTGATCCCCGCCATAACCACCATCGTAGCCTCCACCACCGGAGCTCGATCCTCCAAAGAAATCCCACTGAGAGGGGTCATACCATGATGGTGCAGGAGGTGGAGTGGTCATAGAGGAAAAGGAG